TTTGATTTTTCAGTCTTGCTAATACAGCTTTTTATTACTAAACTTTGCAGACATATTCCACAACCCTCTGGCACAGGACCCAAGCTACCGCCTGTATGTGATATACTTCCTTCCTTCAGTGCAGCTCCTGGACAGGAAACGTAAGGATTGCCTTCCTCTTTTCACAAAGTGTTGACAGTTACTTACAATTCTAAATAGTTTCGAAAAATAGGTGACTTCCAATCCTGCCCTTTTGTTTGCTGATGTAGCAAATAACCTAATGAACTGATACACTTTTTTTTTTGCAATATTTGTCACGTAGGTGGAGTTTCTATGGAATAGGCAGACCCTTTTGCTTTCTCTATTTTTCTATTTAAATTGTGTGTCTTATACTTTGTCAATATAGTTTTAGGTAGAAGGGATTAAAGCCTGTGCTTAAAAACATGTTCCTACAATTTTGCATTCAAATTGGTTTATTCACATGCAGAAACCTGTTTACTTAGACCTGTTTACTTTACTTATACAGACAATATGCTTGGATGCTTAAATTGTATGTGTTTTGTACAATTTAAATAAGTATATCCACATCCCTGATAATGTCCATGCTGATCAAGTTGTGAAGTATAAAACTTCATTAGCAAATTTTTCACAACTTCTCCACTGTAAAAAAAAAAAAAAAGAAAAAAAGAAAAAATCATTTTTGGAACAGCCAGGTGATGAATCAGCCTATCAATAAACATGCCCCAGCAGAGCCTGAGCATCAGCGTTGGTGATTTTGCCTTTGCTGCTTGGAGGTGGCCTGAGTGCTGCTGGGGGGCCCTGGTAGAGGTGCAGAGGTTGTTATCCCAGCTGGGCCTCATGGGAAAGGAGGGAGGAGAAACAAAGTCCTGCTGGGAAGTGGCCCCGGGCCCCGGCCGGTCAGGGCCAGGACGCGGGACAGCCCCGTGGGCCGGGAGCCGGTGCTGGCAGGGAATGGTGTGACTGTCCGGGCTGCTGTTACACCCTGGCTTAGCGCTTGGCTCTGATTGCTTCCGTAGGGATCATTTTTGTCTAGGGAGAGCTAAAAAAAAGAGAGCTGTGGGGGAAGAAAAAAAGACAAAAGAACACTTGTTGCATTTAGAGATCTAGACATATTTCTATAAAACTTCCCAGACTATACAGTTGTATTAAGTTCTGGATGAAGACTCTAATTTGTATTACGGCATTAATTTGTATGAAGCTGTAGTCTTGACTGATTTCCTGAGCTATTTCTAACATGCTCCCTCCTTTTAACTCTCTCTAACATCGCAGAACTTCTTCCCCGTGTGCAGCGCGTTGCCCCCGCGCGGTCCCGGCCGTCTGCTCCATGCAGGACATGAGCTCGCGGTTCTGCGCTCTCCAGCCAGGACTTCTCGGTGGTCCCCTTGATACCATGATTTAAGAAAACCCTGAATTCAAAATGCTACTGCCAAAGTTATTTGTTCTAACCCTTACCTGGCTTTTAGTTCATGTCTGCAGTACTAGATGAGTATGCAGGTCACATTAGTAACATTAGAATCTCTGATTTGACTTAGTCTCAAACGTTGCTTAAAGTTATTTTTGAATGCAAGTGCAAAAAAAAGGAAAATAGAAATTTTTTTATTGTAGTCCTACAGTTTTCACTGTAATTAAGCAATGGGAATTGAATTGACCTGAACTAAATTTACTGTGCCCACAGAAACATAGGTGCCTTTGCTCCATTCAGTAACAGATCTCCTTGAAGGGAGTGAAGAGGCTTGGTGTGTATCTTCTTCCTTTAAAACTTCTGATCCTACTGCAGCCAGAAGAAAAGGTTTATTTTATTGGACAAAACTTCATTCTTAAACCATAGGAGAGATCGCTCCATGTGTCTGTTTGGGGTGGAAACAGTGTGAAATTATGCCGATTTATCCCAATATTGTTATAAAACTGAACAACAACAACAACAAAAAAGGTGAATCACCTCCTCCAGGCACACGTTTATTAAGTTGGTGGAAAAACCAAAACGTTGATATCCCTTTTGACAGCAGTTCTTTTAACAGCAGTTACACCAAGAGAGAGGGAGTCGGCGCTGCACG